GCCATTTCCGGTGTAGCGCATGGTCTGATACTCAGCCATGATCTGTGAAACGCTGCTTCTGACAGCCTTCTGAAATCCGAGATGCTAGAGGAGAGTGTTTTAGCTGGGTACGCCAATGTCGTCGCAACCCTAATCATTGCACGCAACGTTGAGCTGGTCCAGGTCATATGCGTCGTAAATGTATGTGTGTGTCATCGTCTAAATGTGTGTGTTGCTGCTCTTGGTAAGGTCATGGCCAATGTTGGGAATCCTCAGTCCATCCAAAGAAGACTTTTTCCTCCGTGCTTTTTACTGTTCTCAGGTTGTAGGTGGACAGGTGCAACAAGGAGGTGTTTCAGTTGAAGTTTGCACGAGTGCATCGTTACGTGGCACTCAGGGTCAAGAATTCCAAACCAGCTGTTCTGGTCAATGGCAACAGTGTATTATTTACGTCGCGGTTGATCCTAAAAAAAATCACCATGAACCGACACCGATCGTGAAAGTCTACGTAAGAAGAATGGACTGCTAGACTCAACAGACAGGTCTAACCCATAACCATGGGTGGAACGGTGGAATGGTGAGGTTGACTACACAACTACACACTTCTTTTCAGGTCACGTCTATTTTCACTCGTATCTGAACTTGACATTCGATGGTCAAGTCCGGTTCCCCGACTACATATAGCCCGGGTATTCCCGACGTTCCCGAGTGTTCTTTTGCTGCCCATGTTGACATTTGCTTCGCCTGGAGTCCATTCAACATCTTAAGCTTAAGCTTAAGCTCTTAAGGTGCTTCAGGGTGCTTTCGGTTGGATCGGTTTGTAAGATCATGATTAAGGGTGAGGACAACATCTTCCAATTCAAAAAGAATTACTGAGATTGGATTTCATTTTATGTCGTGTAAGAAGCGAACGGCTAGACATGGAACGCGAACAAACTCGGTCTAGTTCTGACGAAGTGCGAGACGAGTGTTGCCAGGCTAGTTTCCAAAGGGCAGAGGATGTTTAGAGGGGGTGTTACCCGTAGTAGTCCAATACTACAAGCCGACCTTAGGTGTAAACGCATTCTCCTCTCTCTTTATAAAATAACAATATTGAAATTCATAAGAAATTCAAGGGCTATCAAGGGTTTGCTGTCTGTTCAAATCACTACAAAACTGTTATGAAAACCATATACTGTAAATTTCAATTAGTGTCGCGTTTTTCTTGGACTCTTACATATATCACGTATAAAAAAAAGTATTGCAATAATATTCTTAAGTTTTACTAAATAATTCCGTAATAAAGATGAGGGGAATACGTCTTTTACTGATTTTCGTTTTTCTTCTTACCTCTAATGTGAGATACAAAGATTTCTAAATCAGGAATGCTATTTAAATTATTTTATCTTTTAATTTTTATATAGAATGAAAAATAGCGGATGTAAATTTTTATTCAGAGCAACAGTTTGAGAGATGATATGAATTGTTGAGTCATATTCGGATATAACAATAATAATAATTCATCATATTTTATTTAAAACAACAAGGCTCCATTAGTATGTCAAATACATTTGTATTCACATTTTCGTCCTCTTTTATATACTTTCCTTCGTAAAAAAATGTCAAAATAAAATAGTCAAGACTTGACGATTGTCCTACAGTCAAACGTTGCTTACGACAGTTTCGTAGTGTGCCTGTTAATTAATATTGTTTACCTATTGTTTACTACTGTGTATGCTCATACGATCACAATATTCAGTACTTTGGTATTATCCGGAGGCCACCCTTAAACAGCGCGCTGCGGCGGTTATGTTAGGTTGGGTTATCATAAATATGTTTGTAGGACTTTCCTCGTTTCGTTATGAATCGAACGATATCAGATGAGTCATATTTTCGCACGCCAAATCCCCTCAAGTAGGCCAAGATCAGGCCAATGACCAAAGCGCGCACATCAACTGCCACCGCCTGTATCTGGGGTATTTGGTGGGCTCATCTGGCTCATCTGGTATCTTTTGATGCATAACGAAACGAGGAAAGTCCTACAAACATATTTATGATAACCCAACCTAACATAACCGCCGTAGCGCACTGTATATCTACTTGGCGGAGTACATGTGGCAGCTAGCGGCGGCGACGCATTCAACTCAATCCTCGCCGACATCGCTGCCTTCTGGGAGGCTGAACTCAAAAGCCGCTAATCGCCAATATGTCAAATTTGGACGGTAAGTCAATTAAAGTATGTTATTTCCAATTATGTAGTTATTTTTGGTCTCCGGTAAAAATCTCTCTAAAATAAGTGGCCTCCTAATAATACCAAAGTTCCCAATATTCCTGTAGAAATATAAACCCAAAGCTGGAATCCTCAGTAATTTATAACAAATGCTATTATGATGAAACGTGCTAAGGTAAATATATTAATTAGTTTGTGTATAGTTTTCATAGATATTGATATTTTTTCGATATTTAGTTTGATTTGAATTTAGCAATATCCTAGGTTCAAAACAAAAATTGTACACCATTCACCATTAACTGTTGTTATAACTAACTACTGATTTAAAATCACCTTTTGTTATAACTGCTCAATAGTCTACTTGATTATAGGTGTTTAATCTAAACTAATTGTCAATTAGATTTTATGACAATTGTATCCGTTTTTTTTGTTTTTTATTTGCCTTCTGTTATATTAAAGGTTTTAGTTGCTTGCTTATATACAGGGTGACAAATAAGTCCTAGGACAACTTAATAGCTTTAAAACAGAAAGAGATATTTCAACCAAATTTGGCATGTCATTACTGTACTGGTACTAGTAAGCTTACTGACGCTGTGTGATCGGATGTCACCAATGAGGGAGACGGTGCATAGAGAGTAAGTTGAAAATCTTAAAGTTAAACATAGATTTATATGTACATCAAACTAATGGTCTTATTGAACCAAAAACAATGCCACAAACCGGACCTCAAATGAACAATCGAGTCAAAAATGACAGCTGTTCAAAGATTTATTGAATCTGCCATACTCAGTTGTTCTTTTGAGCTCAAATTTGCGGCATTGTGTTCTCCTAATAAAGACCTTCAACCTGATGTGCATATCGACCTATGTTTACGTTTTTGATTTTCTTCTGTCCTCAAGGGGGCTAGCGGCCTGAGCACACCTGAGTACATAGCATTGCAAATTCAATGTTTAAACAGCTGTCATTTTTTACTCGATTATTTGAGGTCCGGTTTGTGACATTGTTTTTAGTTTAACAAGACCATTAGTTTGATGTACATATCAACCTATGTTTGCCTTTAAGATTTTCAACTTACTCCCTATGAGCTGTCTCCCATTGGTGACATCTGATCACCATGTACACAATTAAGTAGCTTACTATTACCAGTAACGTCATGCCAAATTTGGTTGTGATATCTCTTTTAATTTTTGTTGTACTAAGACTTAATTATCAGCATGTATATAATTTAAATAGATTATTGGTAAATTTTATGGAAATTATTCGGTTTATTTATGTTTAATATAAGGTATGCAATAACAACTAAAGATATATAAAATGTGGTGCTCAATTATGTGTACCCATCTACCATTTAATTTTTTCAACTTTCTTTATTCACTATCTTTCTAAACAATGTAATATACGAGTATAATTTTTCAATTAAATAAAAATAATAAACGTAAAAATAATTAATATCAATTTATAATAAATTATTTGTACCTTTATATTAATTTTTGTAGTTTATAAAAATAAAAATTATTTTAATCAATTAATAAATAGATTATTATAAATCATGACAAATATTTCTAACTAAATTATATTATTACTTATAAATATATAATACATTATATTTATTATTGTATAACTATAGAAATGTTGATACAATACGAACATGAATTGTAAAAAAATTAATTATCTTAACCAAATTGCCTATTAAACCTAATTATATTCCTCGGAAAACTTCGAAGTTTATTTATTGTATATTTAGAGGTGTGGTGATTTACCTACCGAAGATTTCGAAGCTAATTTCCTCTCTTATTTTTGTAAATCAATGTAGACCTAAATCTCAAAGTTTGAACTTATGTCTTATTAAAACCTTAAATTGAATCTCAATCATTTCATTTATGAAATGAATTATGTTCCCATAGAAGAGTGAATTTAACACTCATAAAGTAAACACACGTAAAACCACTTCAAGTAAAAGTGTGTTAATACGTAAAAACGCACTGCATAAAGAATAATTGCAAAACGCCAAATAAAAATTTACCAAACAAAAGCAGCAAAACACTCAAAATCGTATTAACAAATCATTGCAAAAAACAGCGAAAACAAGAAGAACACGCCAGATAGCTTAACAATCGTGATTAAAATAAAGAGATGTAAAACCAAAGTTAAAATCAACTAATGGTATTTAATTTTTCAAAATTATTATTAATTAATAGTAACACTTTCACTGTACAAAAACCCCCATTCTTGAAGTACAAATATAAAAATCAAAGGAAAATTAAAATAATAAAATAGAAATTTATAATTGTTATTTGTAAATTTATTAAATTCAGCCACTTTTCCATACCAATTATGTAAAATTTATAAATATTTGCAAAAACAGAATGAGATTAGTCACACACACTTGGTATGTGACCATGGCCCAATGCTAATACAAGGCAGAGTCGAGATAAAATTGGCAACGTCGCACTCCCGTCCTACTGAAACAGCTGTTGCACTTCATAATGGAGCTTCTGCGCAATAATTGTGTTTTGTTGTTACCATGACAACAGGCCGGTGCGACGTTGCCACACAAACTCCACCGTCTCATATCAGAGGTTATGATGTAGGTTTTCAGAGTAACAAATCGGTGTTCAAATAAAATAATGTAAAAGTTTAAAATGTTGAAAACAAAACAGCAATATCCACAATCAGGAAACAAGTCATGTTGTTTTTAGTCCTGAAAGGCCAACACCAGACAGTACACAGAGTTCTTTGACTCCAACATTCCACCACCACATACGTGCAAAACCAACCCAGCAGCGTCAATCTGAAATACAAGGAGATTTACCCAATCGGACCACATGTTGAACTGTTCGGTGCCTGCGACGTGGAGGTGTACTGTAGGAACGCCTTGTCTTGGCCTTGCAAAATAAACTTCAATCAAAATATACTCCATAGAATAATAAAAATAATATTCACTATAAAAAACTAAATAAGTCGAATAAAAATAGCTATACTAACACAAGTGTAATTGTTTGGTCCCCAAAACTACGGAGGTACACAATTTAAAAATAAACTTAAAGAATTAAACTTTTCAGTAAGTTAAATATAACTTAACAGTATACAGTATATGCATGGGTGTTTAAAAATATTATAGACACAACACAATGATAATGTAGATATATACTGTAAAATGTCCCATTGCTCTTTTATGAAATAAAATTGCTGAATCGACAGCAACTAGAAATATGCTGACTAGAACTAGAAACAGTACTGTAGGGTCTTTTAGAGAAGACCTTGCCTAATTTCTTTAGAAAGCTAGTTCAATAAAATATTGCTTGACCGATCCATTGATACGTTTGACTTTGATAAAGGTGGGCTTTAGAGAACACATTTATTGATAAAGATACTACAAAAGATAGCTAATTTTGATTTGGGCTATTAGAACTAGGTTTAGGCAAAATACCAGGGCCACGGTTTGCATGCTACGAGCTATGGGCCCAAAAGATATATTTCGCCCCCCTTGAGTGAACTTTTCTATTCCTTTTGCCCCCAATAAACCTAAAATATTTTGACATTTACGTGCCCAGGACCTATTTATTATATTTAATATATTATCCATGAGCTATATACTGTTTTTATGAAAACCATTTCAATAAATATTTTATAACAGCGAAACATTGTATACAATGCTATATTTCACTCCCTATTACAGTAATGATGCAGGATTTAATACCATAAAAACAATGGCATAGAGTATAATTCAGAGGTACTACAGTTTTCTATAAGCTCAAACACCTGTTAATCTTTGTTAAGCCACGTTTAATAAAAGAGCTTTCTCCAGTTCAAGAATTTTACCTACATTTAAAAGGTTCATTATTTTTGTCATTAACATCGTAATACCGCACTTGGCTTACTTTCTCTGTTTCAAATTGGCTATGCAATGTTTATTTTCTGTAATATCATTATAATACTTTAATTTTATGAAATATCATAAATATATTTACTTTATACAATTATTACCTATTACTCAAAACATAAACGTTTAAGAGGGACGAATAGGTCAAAACAATATAAACTATTACAATAAGTATCTCAACAAAAAGTTCAAATCGAAAGGGTACAAAGTATTTTTTATGTAATAAAACATTCAATCGGACGAGTCAATGGTCTACCACTTATAGTCTTGCTAAATATAGTAGACTTCGGCAAGTTAATTAAGACCTGTATAATTCTGTATCGTTGTCAAAATAATTATGATTAGGATGTCGTCGGACTCAGCGAGGAGTCGGTTCAACCGAGGTCAGATTAGCGAGGTTCTACCAAGGACTTAAAACAAATGTGCTATTTCATTTGAAAAAGCCAAATTTTAATCTTGTTCTTAGTTTATAACTGGCTTGCGAATTAAATAAAATGTTTAGTCATGTGAGAAGCACATGAAGTAAGATGTGCCCGTTCTAGCGAGTCATAATAGTTTGTTCCTTGGGGTAAAGTAAACAGGTTTGGAACTAAAGTAGGCCACCATCTTAAATTGTCTTGTAATAAATTGTAAAAATAAATGTATTTCAATAACGTGTTATTTAACGATCGTGAGCCTATTTTACTGTAGAAATACATATCACGTACATAGGCTTCGCCTATTATAACTTTTAAATCGAAGAAACAATATTACAATATTACCTTTACTTCAAAAGGTTATCTTGAGAAAATTAAAAAAAAAAATACGTATTATGACATAATGTTCACTACATGGCCTCTAAAGTCTGTTTTTTTACGAATAATTATAGGTAAATAAACTACTGAACTATAGGTACTACAATTGTACAGAAACCTAGCGTATTTGTAAACAGCTGATAGATATATTCAACAGCTGTTTTTTAACAGTTTATGATCGAAATCTAAAATATTTGTTTATTCTAACCCTCTATCTGGGCCACTAATTTTCACTATGAACTAGCATAGTCCGGTAACAACGACATATCATAGTCAGAAAACTGTTCAATACTATGAAACTTAAACCATCAGAAAAATTAGAATCTGGCTAGGAATTTGTTGATACAAAATTATCCAGTGACATCATTATTCAATTCAAATAAGTGATTTAAACTATTGTTCTTTTGGAAAAAATTCAAGATATGGTAAAAGAAAAAACAGCTGTTTTGTCAGCTAGAATTATAACTACAAACCAAGGAGAAACGATGGTGTAAAATAGCAACCAAAATTATACAACCCAAAACTCGTAACCTGAGTGTTATTTTTTAGCTTGTAGATCGGCCAGAAACTCATTTAAGAGAAGTATATGTTTTTAACCCTTAGCGGTAATGATTTGCGTATATGTTAACTATGATTTATGAAGATTTTGCGTATGATTTTGATGTAGTGTTATCTTTGTCAATAAAAACTTGAACTTGAACTTGCTATCCTTGCAGATTCTAAAAGGGACTTCAAGCAATCGTAGGTTTCATTTCAGTTAGGGTTAACATTCTAGGAGTGGGTTAAACAATCGTACTAAAAGAGCCTGGAAGTTGGAGATGAAAGTTTCACAGCTGTTCGATTGTTACACAGCTGATAGCCTCTCTCCCGCCAAAAGTTGGTAAATAATACATCGCTTGAGGCGTCCCGGAGCGCCTTGGCCCGTCCCATTTTCAAACAACGCCGATTTCATGCCTTGCCAAATAATATGGTCTGCAGTTTAGGACGAAATTACAAAAAGGATGTCGACTTTGATGTTATCGTTACAGTTTTGGTCTCTATTATACTTGAGAAGTTTTAAAGTCATTTACAACTATTGTAAAATGTTTAAAAAGTCAAAAAGTTTGTATTTTTAAGACAACTACTTTAACGTGCTGCAACGTTTGTGTAGTTCAAGAAAGCTTGGCGTCACCAGTCTAACATTTATATTAGATTAAGATTTTCCAAGGATTACAATTTTAATTGGAGCAATGCTCCATTCTCAATTTTCTGAGATCGACAGATAGTAACAAACACAAAAAATAGACTGACAACGACGCAAGGTGCGTAATCTATACTATAGTCATTGAATCGATCTTGAAAGATGAAAGAATGGTTACATTTTACTACTTTGAAACTAAATAGGAGACATTAGCGTTTAAAGAGCGTATGAGTTTATTTTTCTTCCAAACTGTTCTAGAACATGTAAATCTAATTATTGTAATTTATAAAGATGAATTTAGTACTAGACTAGTAGTACATTAAACAAAAAATTGTAGTTGATTTTGAATGATTTTTGTCTGACATTAGTTTGAGTGATCTGTACATATAACTGTCTATTTATGTACTATATAGGCCTGCAAATAATTAGAAAGTATATTTTTAAAATCACCGTTCTTCCTTGTCTACTTTTGACCAGATAATAAACTCAATTGCAAAATGTGTTAGCCTTAACTTTGTTAGCAGGCAATACAACTGTCAATTACACATAAATAACTACTTGGTTAATGATTTAGTTCTATCACAATCAAATCAATAACAAACTTCCCTTTGAGGCAGCTATTTGTAAAGAAATAGTTTAAGTCCTAGTTTCCAAACCATTGCAGTAAATGTTGTTATTTCATATCCAGATATTAAAATGAATTGGTAATATATCAAAATAAGGGTTATTCAGAAGATTTTATAAATTGTATATGCGCGACTGTATTAAATGACACAAATGTCTACTGTACAATATCTGTATGTAATTGTGATCTAGTGGGCCGTGGCTGTGGGGTTTATAGTTATGATCGCTGTAAAAGTACTTGCGATAAAGTTGTAAGATTAAAGATCATAAACTACTTAAAACTCTCACAACATGTTCCCTTGGATGCAATATTCGGTTATTCAGAAGATTTTAGAAATTGTATATGCGCGACTGTATTAAATGACACAAATGTCTACTGTACAATATCTGTATGTAATTGTGATCTAGTGGGCCGTGCGGTTTATTGTTATGATCGCTGTAAAAGTACTTGCGATAAAGTTGTAAGATTAAAGATCATAAACTACTTAAAACTCTCACAACATGTTCCCTTGGATGCAATATTCGGTTATTCAGAAGATTTTAGAAATTGTATATGCGCGACTGTATTAAATGACACAAATGTCTACTGTACAATATCCGTATGTAATTGTGATCTAGTGGGCCGTGGCTGTGCCATTTATTGTTATGATCGCTGTAAAAGTACTTGCGATAAAGTTGTAAGATTAAAGATCATAAACTACTTAAAACTCTCACAACATGTTCCCTTGGATGCAATATTGAACACTAACATTACCGGAGTTATTTTGTTGTTATAAGTATAAACAAAACATTACATATTTTGTAGTTTTTAGGTTGAGAATTTATTTTTTCCCTCAAATAAAATTGTTTAAATATCTGTTTTTGTATTGTGTGGGGCAACATATATATTAGAATCAATACGATATTCCACAGTTTTTACTGGATTTCGTATACCTCTACATTCATTTTATGCACAATTAAATTAATTTAGTATTAATGTAAATTAATGTAGTAGTAGTACATTATTGTATTACTGATTACAGTGTAGGATCACTGTGTATTATTGTTGTACTACAATGCCGTATTTATTTATTTATCATCCCAACGGATTAATCCAGTACATAAGATTGAAGGGAACTCTTCTGGAATGTGTTAGTTTTCAGCCACCTTCAAGGTTTTTTTATTTAATACGTTTTAGGGTTTCATTTTGTTATTAGTGGTCCGATTTTGGTTTTCTTTATGTAAATTATTTAGTTTTGTCAAGACCGGTAAAATGATACTAAACTCGACTATACTTGCTATTCGACGATTTTTAGCTACCCCCAACCACCGCTACCCATAGGGGCAATTTTTTCTAAATCAACCATAATTATTGTAGCCCCTCATTTCTAAGAAGGTTGTCACAAACCGATTTAAAAAATCTCA